CATTAGAAGTGGAAATACTAACACCAGCAGCAACAGTAGCAGCAGCAGCAGTAGTAGTAGTAATAGTAGGAGGAGCAGTAGTGTGAGTTATAGATAGAGGAGTAGAACTAGTAGCTCCAAAGGAACTAGTGATAGAAACAGGAGTCATAGTAGAACCAGAGGTAGTGGTAGCAATAGGAATAGAACTAGTAGAAGGAACAGGAATGGAACTAGTAGGAGGAACAGGAATAGAACTAGTAGGAGGAACAGGAATGGAACTAGTAGAAGGAACAGGAATAGAACTAGTAGGAGGAACAGGAATAGAACTAGTAGCAGGAACAGGAATGGAACTAGTAGGAGGAACAGGAATGGAACTAGTAGGAGGAACAGGAATAGAGCTAGTAGGGATAACAGTGTGAGATGTGTTTGTGGAGAGTTGAGCTGGAGAATGAGTAGTAGCAATGGAAAGAGGAGAGGGTCTAGGATAACCAGGAGTTGTACTAGGAGGAAGAGATGAACTGCTACTTGATGACACTGTCAAGGAAGGAGGCATTGAAAAAGACTTGGTAATGGAAGGAGGATGTGTGGCAGCTGCTAATGAAGGAGTGGCCCCTCCAGAAACAAATGATGGAGCACCACCCCCAGCTGGTAGAATAGAACGAGAACCAAAAACAAACGGAGCCCCACCACCAGCTGGTGAATTAATAAAGGAAAAAGGGGTTGATCCTTGAACGTTACTAGTACCAAAGCTAAACACTGGTAAATTAATGGCAGGAGTAGTGGTGGTAGGACCAGAGCTTGAAGCTGGTTTAGTGGAAGCTGGAGTGGGTCCTGTAACTGATCCAGTGGGAGGTGCTACTGTTGATCCAATAGGCGTTGAGCTAGTTGGCTTGTAAGTAGGTCCAGGATTAGAGAAAGACCGTGATGTAGAACCAATGGATGAATTAGTAACTGAAGTATGAGAAGGAATAGCAGAACTGCTGGAATACAAGGAAGAAGGACCAGTTGACATTGGAGGACGGGAACTACCTGAATACATGTATACTGGAGAAGGACCACTTGAATGTGTGTAACTTGGAGGACGATGACCAGTTGAAAGAGAAGCACTAGGAGAAGGACCAGTATGAGTAGTAGGACCACTTGAATATGAAGGAGGGCCAGCTCCAGCCCCAGTAGTGGTAGGAGGTGCACTGGTAGATACACTGGTGGGTATACTGGTGGGTACACTAGTAGGTACACTGGTAGAAGGCATACTGGTAGAAGGCATACTGGTAGATGGTACACTGGTAGAAGGCATACTGGTAGATGGTACACTGGTAGAAGGCATACTGGTAGATGGTACACTGGTAGAAGGCATACTGGTAGATGGTACACTGGTAGAAGGCATACTGGTAGATGGTACACTGGTAGGTACATCAATGGTCTGTGTACTGGCATGAGATACCCTGACAGGCTGTACATTGGTAGGTGGCTTCATCCTATACACTGGTGAATGGAGAGGTCTTGGAGCAGGTAAAGGTATATTAACCTTTCTCTCATTGACTTTAATACAGTCAGTAGTCAATATGGCTGATATACTGGACCTATCACTGGATACACT